AGAGAGGCACACACACACAGCACAGAGAGATACACACACACAGCACAGAGAGCACACACACACACACACAACACACACAGCACAGAGAGCACACACACACAGCACAGAGAGGCACACACAGCACAGCTTTTTCAGTGGAACACCCCTCCTGACTATATTAAAAATGCAGCTTCTGTTGTTGTTTAAGGCAAGATTTAAACTTATGCTTTTAATTCTTAATCAGTTTCTTTCCTTTAATTTCTCAATTTAATCTGGTTTTGTTGTCTAATTTGTATGCCGTACTGATTTCTTAGTGAGTGATTTATGGAAAATGCTTTGAGAATGAAAAGCCCTACAGAAGGACGAGATTGACTGGTTGATTGACAGAGAAGTCCACTTCAAGGCTGCCTAACGTGGACTCCCCAGATGAAGTAAAGTTTAACTCCATTGCCGGAAAGTAGAAAAGAGCAAACTCAATGTTTTCTGCTGTTGAGCCTTCTTCAGCTGTGAGGGGGAGAAAGGAAGGTATCAGGGATATAAAACAAAGGCCCCTTTTCTGCTTTCCAGTGTGGAATTAGCTGTTAGCTGCTCCAGTGGAGTTAGCCCACACTCATGAAGCTCCCTGCTCAAACCTCCCTACGGAAAACTGTTCTTGAGCTCTGTCACTTCCTGCAGGTAATTACTGAAGACTGCAATGCACGTGTCTGAGAACACGCAACATATCCTACATGGAATGATGGGGACCTTAGAATCTTCAAACAATTGACCTCTTTGTCCTGGATAAAGACATCAGCCAAACGAATGCAAAATGATCTCCAGGCGCCATAAACAGACACAGGAAGACGGGTCCGATACTTTGCTAGTGCATCACCGGCCTCACTTCACCCACAGAAGTGCTTTAGTAAAAGCTTCCGTTGCGTCTTCGTTGTTCCGAAAACTGGAACTAACGAAGTGTCGAGATAAATCTCCTTTCGGGTTGACTATGGCGGGATTTTTGTCCTCTGGAGAAAAAGCAGTGGATTTCAGAGATTGTCTCACACCCTCACAAACTCAGCAATCATGATTATTCAAAAAAAAAACATCCAATACTTTTAATGCATCCTAATTTGAACCTGATCTAAACAAGAAACAAGTCAACATTCTTTTCCATTCATTTCCGATACTGTCACAGAATGGTGTTCTCAAAGCAATCCAGAGAGATGCAGTAATCATCCCCAGTAATAATCTGCTCAAAATGCTTTTTTTAACCAACAGGTGCCTGTGAAACTAACAGACCACACGTGCCTGTGCTGGTGAGAAAGAGAAAAGCTCCACGCGGCTCTGTGTGTGTGGAGGGAATGTGGGCCACGCTGCGCTGTGAACAATATACTTGACGTCCGAGGACGGTGCGTCTGATTGGCCCAGGCTGAGGTGCGGATTCTGAGGATAAACAATTCTCCCAGCAGCCTGAACTGCTGCCCCCAGGGGAAATCTCAATACCTGTGTGCAGCTATGATATACCCCATGTGCAGTAACAAGGAACACTGGGAATTACTCTCTAAGGTTCAGAGAGTGGGCTGGAGAAACAGACCTCAGTTAAGGGAGGGGATACCCTGGGATCTTTATGCCACAGTGTGAGTAGGACTCTGGTTTAAAGTCCCACCAAAACAAGAGTCACCTCCTACAGCCCAACACCTCTCCCTGGTACCACACCGTAGCACTGGAATTTCTCACCAGAAGGAAATAGTGCCTCCTACTGGTCTGCCACTGCTCCTGCCAGCTGCAGCGGCAAGTCCTTCCTTCAATGTCTCCCTTCCATGTGTTGCTCTGGCCTAGCCTCCCCGAGAGATCAGGGTTCTAGGCGATAGAACTCTTGTAACCTGAGTTTGTTGAAGATGGATGACAGAGCAATTACTATAACTGTCACATAATGCTTTGGAATCTAAAATGCTTCCTGTTTGAAATATCATCCCAATGCTTGAGAAGGTACAGCCTGAGAAAGAGGAGAGTCACTTCTAACAGATGCAGTCCTAAGGATCGTTCTAAAAATGATCCACGAAGCTTTGCAGCAATAAATAACATTTTAAACGCAAACTTTAAGCTTCTGTTTCACTGAAATCTGAAAGCAGCCCGTGTACCTACAGCATACCCACACTCATGTGTTACTGGTACAAGAATGCATTTGAGGCATCGGGAGTCTTGCTATCAGCAATCTAGGGCATTTCCTGCAGTCTGAGATAGGCTGCAGTCCTAATTGTTTCCAGAAGGAAAGTCCCAGAATGTCTTGGGTTCTGAGCCTCTTGCCCCTTAATCTGCTTCTGTAATCACCACCAAATAAGCTCAGAAGGAAGAAAGTCGCTGTGCTTACTGTACTCTGATACAATGGGCAGGAAAAAAGACGCCCCCACATTCAGAAATGAGCCCTGGGAAAAACTCAAGGCAGCTGTTGCCTCCATATCTCCAGTTAATGACTTCACTAACTGGTGAAAAAAAGCCATTAATCACAATTACTGCACCATAGCCATATTAGTTCAGTGTTAGTGCAAATACACTCAGAGGGCATTACATGTTCTGCTGAGAGCCCCCCCATAAACACGCCGTCAGCACAGCTCCCAGAAGAGGCGCCCAAATGTCCCTCCATCAGATCTCTTGCTACTACGTGAACTTATCATTGTCTCCACTTGACCAAAGTCTCCAAATCTATGTGCTATTACTATGGCTTGAAAATTCATGTCAGCTCTTGAGCGAGAGAATGGATCATTCACATCCTTTAATGCACCCCTAAATTTCTGTCCCAATGGATTTTAAGGTTCTTATGTTTGATGTGCCTTCCTTAGCGCCATGTTATCTGCCTGATTTTGCAGTCACTCTAATCTCCAGCTCAGCAGTCCTTGGTCTTGGAGGACAGCTTTCAACAGCCTACATTGTATAGTCTTGTATTGCATTGGGTTGCATGGCCTTATGTCAAAGCAAATAACCCACTTTTATCAATTTTGGCATCCATAACTATGATCTATGTTTAAGTTCTGGTGAAATAAGAAAGACAAGAATTCATCTAAAGTTGCACATTGAGAACTGTGCGCTTTTCCGAGATGAACACAGCAGTTGTCAGGCTGGGACTTGAAGCAGGAGAAAAGCTGGGAGAGGCAGCAATTGCATTCCAACTGTGTTAACAAATCCCTCCAGGAACATACAGGAATGTAAGTCAAGACTCCACTGGGGAACGCTGGCAAAAAGCACCGAGCAAAGTCCATGCAGTGCTCTCTCTCTCTCTGACCCTCCCACATGCATTTTAAAGATAAGTTCCCATAGATACAAGCAGCAGGATTGTGAAAATGTCCCAAGTTCTTCTGAGTGATGTCTCATGTTTACTGTACATGTAATGATACGAACAAAAATTAAAGCTTGCAAGAAACACATAGTACTCAGAATTGACCGTGTTTCTAGATGCGCAGTACTCAGACTTTCTGCAGTGTAGTAGTTAGCCAGGCAATAACAGGATGCCCAGCTACTGTACAAAACTGTCTCGTGGGTTTTCAGGGTGAAAGCAACAGGTATCAAGATATGCCTCTGGTTAGTCAGTAAAAGAAAGAAGAGAAACCTGGACTCTCCTTCACTGCAACACAGCTCTGGAATTTCAGCTGGATGTTATTCCAAACTTGCTCCTGCCTGCCTCCTCGGGCTTCTTGTCAATGAGCTATTTACAGCTTTTATGACAGACTGGGGACGACCCGCCCGAACATTCGCACAACCAGAGCTTTTTTCAGAAAAAACGTTTGGGATTGCCCTCTGACCTTGCTGGCTGTAGCGCTTGCTGCGATGGCGCCGCGCCCCCCGGCCTCCCATGCCCGAGAAGATGCCCCTGACCCGCTGGGCCCAAGCGGAGTGGCTCTCTCCATCTCCCACTCCGCACCGGGGCCGGGACATCAGCCACAGGGTGGCGCTGTCCAGTTTTCCTGTGACAGGCAGGTGAGACAGCCACTGGAACTCCCTGGAGAAACGAGAATAACAATAATCATTACTTACACTTAATATGGCTCTTTTCTGGACACTCCACTCAAAGCGCTTTACAGGTAATGGGGATCCCCACCACCACCAATGTGCAGCCCCACCTGGATGATGCGACAGCAGCCATAGTGCACCAGTACGCTCCCCACACACCAGCTCTCAGTGGGGAGGAGAGCAGAGTGATGAAGCCAGTTCAGAGATGGTTGATTATTAGAAGGCCATGACTGGTAAGGGCCAATTGGAAATTTGGCCAGGACACCACATTCAAGAATGACACCAGGGGATGGGTAGGGAGTCCCGGAGGGGTGCAGTTCAAGCTGTCAGGACATCAGAGGGGGTCATTCGAGCTGTCCTGCTCATTTGGTTCCTAGCTTACTCACTTTATTGTCCCAGATGGGAAATGTGCTTTGCAGGCAGATAAAGACATAACACATTACACCATACATTTAACACACAATACATTTAACAAATGTATGGTGAGAAAGAAAAAATATATCTAGAAAATAGTACAGTCCAAATTGAGCAGGTTGATAGCTGTAAGAGTAAAAGATGACTTAGTTCCATCGCTCTTGAATCTAGGCAGTCTGAATCGACACCCAGATGGAAGGAGCTCAGATTCACTGAGCAAGGGGTCGTGACAGTCAGTGATTATATTGGCCTTCTGCACTACTTGTCTGACGTCGATGTCTGCCAGCTTTAGCGGTTGTGCACCAAGCTGCTTCCTGATGAGGAACATCATCTCTGCACTCAGAGGGCAGGTCGAGCTCTGCCACCCAGGCGCCATTGTTGTTGGCGAGATTTCCCATGAGGCAGAGCAGAGCTGGCTCAGCACCGCTGGAGGTAGGGCTGAGATCAGAGACGGAGAAAGACTAAGTGTAGTGGGTATAAAATGACCAAA